GGACATTTGCACGTTCAAGGCGACTCCGTCTCCGAATCCGGCAAGAGGATGCAAGCGAGGTTGATGAAAGCAAACCGATTGGTGGTAGATTACGAGGGACATATCTGAAGGAAGAGTCAGCAGGGTTCAGTCAGCTCACAGCGTGGCGGAATGCCAGCGACACTGCGAGCTTACCAATTTCTGGGAGGAAGATGGAGTCAAGAAGAAAGCACCCATAGCTGTAAGAATTAGCCTCCTGGCTTAGGTGCACCTAGGAAATGCATTGTCTAGGATACTAAATGTACCTAGCCTAGGTGTACCCAGTGATCTAGGCTAGAATCACCTCAGGGTGTCTGGATCAATACTGTACTCGAGTGTATCACTACAACGTAATGTGTAACATGGGGTCCGTTAGGTTGTAAGTGATGTGTTGCATAACGCATAATGCAGGGCTCGTTGTCCAAGGCCAGGTGCGTTATGCATGCCAGATCTGCTCTATTTTTGGAAAATTCTATGGAAGATTGACATTTTTGCACTCAACTTGGCTTCTTCTAGGGACATTGTGGCAGTCAAGCTACACAATGTCATCGAAATCCAGTCAACAAGGCACACTTTAGCGTTTATCGTTGTGTTGTCAAGCCTACGTAACGCATAACGCAAGGCTGGTTGTCGGTCTTTCGCCACGTTATGATCATGTGACGGTTGTAGTGATACACTCGAGTACAGTATAGCATCAATGATGGAATAAATGGTTATATAATACCTATAATATTAATAGTAATACATATATAATACTTCAAACTCCTTTTCTTCAGGCCGATGACCCGGTATATAGTTGGGAAGGCGTGTGTCAATAACAATCCTAATTTGGACAAAAATGATGTATTGTAATATAGCCATCAAAAGTACTGATGGCAATCAAAAATGGTTCCACATTAAAAACATTATATAAATGGGTGCACTAGCTTAGGTAATAGAATACCAGATAAAGAGTAATAATATATATTCCTATTAAAATAATGCTTTGGCCTAGGGAGAATTACTAGGCTAAAGTTCTAGGTGTACATAGTCTCTGGCTGTACCTAGTATTCTAGGCAATGCATTTCCTAGGTACACTGGATTTAGGCTAAATACTACCACTACGGCTCTTCTCTCTTTCTTAAGAAAGAGAGAAATGATGTGACGGGTCATGCTGGCCCTTTTATGATCCAGAGTCACGTGCTTTATCGGTCAGGCTAAACGATGAATGCGAAGATATTCTCTCTTCAATGCGGGAGCATTGCAGAAGTCATTCTCGGACACCCAGCTGTCATCGCTTGGATCGTAGCCCACCCACCGAACTAAGAACATTCGGTATTCTTGTCCTTTTCAGCGTCGCAAGCGGTGGCCCAGGATAGCCTCTACCTCGAATTCCTCTGACGGGGTGAGGTAGTCGCGGGTGTCGGGTAGCGTCACCCTTTCTCCGGATCGATCTTCTGACGGATGGTACAGCTTGAGATGTTCCAAGTTGAATACAGGGTGCATGTTGTAGGAGTCTGGCAGGCGGAGGCGGTAGACTACAGGGTTAATCTTTTCCATGACTTCGAACGGCCCCATGGTCCTTTGGATAAGCTTACGACCCATCCCAGCTATGTCTACCAGTTCCAGCGAGTGCGGATTGACTAGAACACGGTCTCCTTCCTTGATCTCCTCAACGGGACGGCGATGCTTATTGAAAGCACGAGCTTGCCTCTCTTGAGCTAGAACGATGGAATCTCTCACGAACTGGCGATGCTCGTTAAGGGCTTCCGTAAAGTCCTTTTCTTTTTGCCCTCGTACGAATGGCCTCACCACGGGATCCGCGGTGGGGAGTAACGTTCTGGCTACTGTCTTCGGATGGTAGCCCATGAGCAAGAAGTTAGGCTTGTAACCGGTTGAAGAGTGAACACTGCCATTTTACACGAAGTTCATTTCCTCGAGCCATCGGGCCCAGGCAGTACGGTCCTTCGCCACGTAAGCGCGAAGCATTTGCTCCAAGAAGGCGTTGACGATCTCGGTCTGACCGTCTGTTTGGGGTGATGGGAGGTGGATAGTGCCATTCTGCTACCATATTGTGCAGTAACAGCTCTCCAGAATGCCGTGGCCCATCTATGATCACAGTCCGCAATGATCCGCTCCAGCATCCCAAATCCATTGACTACATGGTCGATGAACAGCTTTGCGAATCCTTCTTGAGATAGAGTCGTACCTGGCTTCATGGCCTATTATTGGTAGTGACAATCACTAGAGAGGCTGTATAGGATAGGGGTGGTGGTGGTGGCTGGAGACAGCCGAAGCAGAGCACCTGGAATAGTCAACAGAGTGGCCCAAGCTGCCACCTGACTGAGAGGAGGGTTCCTCTGATATGCCTAAAGATTTGAATAATTCAAGCATAGACTTCAAAATGGCAAGTCTGTTATAATATCATGAAGTCATGTCATAATATCACAGATTGTGATATTATGAATAATCTGTGATATTATGACATGACTTCATGCTGAAATTGTATTCAGAAATTATCCAATTTGTCACCCCCTTAGAGGTTTGACATGTGCAACAAACCAAAATTGTCATTGTGCCTTCTTCATTTGGGCAATTTGAGTGTCAATGTCAAAAATTATGCAAAATTACCCATTTGGAAAGGTTGTCAGCCCAAATTTTGGCTGACCACTGTGACTAAGAAAGCAAATCTGTTCCCTTCAGGTGGGTGTCACACATACTTAATGGACAAATTGATTATAGTAGTACAGTATCACTATGGACTATCAGGTCCATTTAGCCTAAGTAGTAGGTTGGACTTGGAAAGCTACATGGGATCCAGAAATTCTCATGGGAATATGATAATCATTAGATAGAGAATTAAATAATTTTGATACTTTTAGTATCCAAGTGCTTCTGTCAGAGGATTTATGCAAGGCTCAATATTCAATTGATGTTATAGTACTTTTAATCAGTTTGTGCTATGCCGCTTGTTGACCCATACACAGGAAATTGAAAAAATTCTTTTAATTCTATAGACAAGAAATATGATATATTCATTTTTTTCATAGATGTCTATTCTTTATCAAGCTTTCTGTAAGAACAAAAAGAATGTCTTTGGCAGGGACAGAAAAGTTATTGGAAAGCTGGCCTTTCCATATGGCTTTCAATCCCCCTTTCTGTGCAATATGAAGGATATATTTCCGCTTATTTCATAAATAAGTTGTTTAAATTCATGTTTATTTGTCATCCAAAAGAACATATTTCTGCCATTTTCAGAAAGCTCTTCTTTATATACACCTTTAATAGCAGATTGAAAGAACATCTTTCAAGAAAAGAAGAAAGGTGTGCTTTTTGCTTGCATGAAAGGAAACATCATCTTTCTGACTTTTTCAGAAAGATGCTCTTGTATAAAAGGGGAAACAAATGATGTCCTTTCTGCAAAAAATATAAAGATGTTGTTTGTGGAAAATATAAAATATGTTGTTTCTGCTACAAAGAAACAGGCATACAAATTTGTATTGAAAAGATAAACTTTCAATTGATAATTCAGTTTTTGCTAAAAGAGGTTCCTTTTATACCAGGGAAATATATTTGAAAAACAAATATTTATTTTAATGGAAAGAAGTATTGAAATGTTTACATTAAATTCATGTTTTAATGGGAAAAGAAAGTTTGGAATTTTCCCTGTGCCACCTTAAATCTGGTCACATTGAGATTTTTGGCCGAAAATTTCCTGCCAGTCACAGGTCACAATCGATATTTTGGTTCCAAACCATCTTAAAATGATAATTTCTGAAAATTTCCACATAGCATGCAGAACTTCCATATAAGGCAGGGGTCACACTAGCTTTTACCCTTGGCTGAATTGCCACATGTCACACGTGTCACACCGTGCAGAATTGATTGAAATACTATAGTATATGGCTACACAGGTGATCTAAACTTGGGGGTTTGTTTCCCATAACTGTTTAGAAAAACATATACTGACCAAGGATCTTCTAGCATACTTCTTGAACATGTTGCACTATGGATAATGAATGGCATGGCTGGCCATATGCCGGCACACCTTATCTAGAGGCGCGCACAATATCTCCCCCTCTGGACCCCCCTCATTAATCTCATAGCTACTGTTTCCCTTTCGATCGAGTGTATATATATATCACTTACTTAGGAGTGCTACCTCCGAGTCAGTTGTTTGTTCACTTCCAAGTGCCCCGACTAGTACTGAGGTATGTGACTTATATTTACCATCCTATCTACTCTATACTCACTTATATACTACAGCACTTCTTCTACAGGTATATAGCTGAATCTCAGTCGTTCACTTCCAAGTGCCCCGACTGAGTAAGTACTTCTTCTACAGAACATGCCTTCAGGCTTCTAACATTTCTTAGTGTGCCGTCTATCACTCTGTGACACTCGTGACCCGGCAATCACGTAAATACGGGATGCGACTTGTCCTTGCCTCCGCTCCCCATGGCCTCGTCCGCCTCAGCGCAGCGAGCGCACAAGCTCATCCCCAGCGGCGGGCCACATCATCACGCTCACGTCATCGTTCGGTTCCCAAGGCTTGTCTCGCCCGTACGGCTCAGCAGCTTCAAGCTTGCTTTCTCTTGCTTCGTGGAGGACGCAGGGTCGACCCTGGAGGAAGCTCCGGATCCTGTGGTGGCGGTCTCAAGTCGCCGGTCGGGTCTTACTAATCCACCGAGGCAACGGGTTTCCCGGGCGCCAAGCGCGGGCACGGGGCGGGGGGTTTAGCTGTTCGAGAGGAAAGGTGAGGATAGGCTGAGAGAGAGAGAAAGGGCCATTTGGCTGCGGCCAGGTCCAGGACCAAGCCGAAACTGAACTGCCCGGTTGCCAGTGATATAAGACGTAGTCGCCGCCTACTTTCTGGGGTCGTTGAGCCAGAATGTTGGCTCTCCTCTCTGCCGCGCTGCTTGCTCTCTTGTTCGCTGGCGCCGTTTCCGCGGAGGCGCAGCTCGCGCTGTCTCTCACTGGTCAGTAACAGTGACCGCTGGATAATGGAGCCTCACCCCACACTAGACGCCCCGGACAACCCGCTGCACCTGATTGTCAGCCTCATGAACACGGGGGACGTTGCGCTCAAGCTGTTACGGGACCCGCACACCGTGCTCGACCCCTTCCCGGCGCAGAAGTTCGCGATCACGAGCACAACCGGCCGCCCGCCGGCGTTCATCGGCGGGACAGGCAAGTACGTGCCCGAGGCTGTCGTCAGGGCCAACAAGGACGACGCATTTCTGCTCTTCCCACCAGGCTCGTACGTCAACATCAAGTACGACCGTGGGTGCTTATTTACCCGCCATGCCCGCCGTGCGCTTCGCTGACCATTATGCCACAGTAACCATTGCGTACAACTTTAGCGATGCGGGAGACGGGCCGTACACCGTATACCCCGCAAATTTGTTCCAGCACCTCAATGCGGACGGCGCGCTTGTGACCATCGCCGCGAACATCACGCACGCGAGCCACCGCATCCGGCTTTCCGGCCCGCCCACCGTCACGCCGCCGCCGCCGCCGGGCACGTGCCCCGCCCCGCAGTCACAAACGCGATCGCGGCTGCAGAAGCGGATCAACTTCCACTGTTGCACGTTTACGCAGCAGGCACAGCTCGCCGATGCGGCGGCCGCGGCCCAGATCCTCGCCGATGCGGCACACATGTACCTACTCGACATGCTTGCGCACCAACTGCAGCCCTCCGCGACGCCCCGCTACCGCGCCTGGTTCGGCCCGTTCTCGCCCGCGCACCACGGCTTGATCTTGACCCACTTCCGCAACCTCGCCGAGCACAAGTTTACGTCGTTTACGTACGACTGCACGTGCCGGCACCCGACGATGTCGGCGTATGTGCACGGGATGAGCCCCGCGCACTACGGGATCATCTACATCTGCCCCGCCTTCTGGTACTCGAACCTTGTCGGCACGGACTCGCAGGCCGGCACCCTCATCCACGAGTCGTCCCACTTCGCCGCCGTCGCCGGCACCCACGATGTTACGCTCGGACAGAATGCCTCCCTGGAGCTCGCGCTCCGCGACCCCCGCCTCGCGTATGTTTATCCTGTCAGTGTTTTCTGTGAGCGCATTGCTGATGATCCCGGGTAGAATTATGAACGCGGACAACCACGAGTACTTTGCGGAGAACCGCAACCCGGAGCTGCCGTAGTTTCAATGTAGCTTCCAGTTGGACCTTTTATTACAGGCACATTTACATGTCAAACCTCGAATAATCATGATACGCCCCCTTAGGGCCTAGGCTTTCAGTCAGCGTTCAAGTAATTTAAGTATTTACAGCATTGGATTTGGCTCCCTTGAACTTTAGGTTGTTTGCTACCCAAACGTCAACAATACATCTAGTGCTGTCCACAATTATATTATGCTAGAATATATTTTGAATATATTCGAATAAATATGATTATATTATGCCCTTTGCATATTCAGACCCATTGAATATGAGTGATTATGAATATGAATATATTATGAATATAATATATTATACCTTGGCCATAATTAATTATATTCAAATACACCAGCAAGCCCTTCAGCCAGAGGTACTAGCTCTGTAGCAGGCTACTAGCAGCAGTAGCAACATCTTCAAACTCAGTCTTTACCATATCAATGGCTTTTGGCAGTAAATCAGGCCGGACAATATCCATATCCAGCCCTGACAGAAGGCTGAAGTTGACCTTTATATTGCTACCCTGGACTTTGATGATACTCTTCGCTGGTGAAGGTATCATACTTAACCTAGGCTAGAGTTTTGTTCAGCTTAATATCTTGTTGTAGAATATCCAGGCTATGTTACCAATCCTGGTTATGGCTGCAAAGAGCATCTCTGTAGGGCACCTGGTCTCCAGACTCCAGCATCAAGCATAGGATGACAGATATGCATGCCTCAATGACTGCAAAATTGGCCACAGAAACAACCATAACCAAGGAGTGGTTCAATAAACCATGAGATAAGGTGGATTATATGCACTATGTGCAGACTTGTGAAGCTTGAATATAATTGAATATATTCATAATATATTCATATCGTGAGCCCAATTATGATTATGAATATGAATACAATTATAATATGCTCCAGCAGGGAGAATATATTATGAATATGAATAAATTATGAAAATTTCCTATTCATAATCATAATTGGACAGCACTAAATACATCATCTCGAGTGCACATGGTCACATACCGCGAGCGCCGGCTGCGCGCGGAGATGACCGCCGTGGGATCCGGAACGGACCGATGCGTGATGCCGGTGGGCGACCCGTGCCGGTGGGCGACCCGAACGCCGGGGGCCCGGGCCGGCGCCGGCTGCTTGAATATCAGGATGGGGTTGAGTGAGGCAACGAGATGTGCTGTTAAGTGTCTGCCAATAAACTATGTTTTACACTGGGTACTGTCGAACTTCTTCTAATAGGCCACACACAAGTCAAGTTGGTAGACAGTTTCCACATCCTCTGATTTGTTGTCCAATCGCGGCGGTCGACATGAGGCCTTACCAGTTGATCACTGTGCCTCTGCCGCACAAACACCCGCAGCGTCTTTTGCGCCCGCAGCACGCTTGTCATCACCAGCGCGGGGAGGCGCAGCTCGAAGAAGGACAGGTGCGTGACGGCGGGGAACGCCGCGGCCAGCGCGGGCGCCGGCCACGCCGGCGCTTGGGCCTCTGGGAATAGCTCGACGTGTGTCAGCCGCGCGAATGGGGCGAACGCAAGCGGGGCGTCGGCGTCCGTCGGCAGCGCGTTGGACGGATTCACCGAGAGGCGGCGGAGATTAGTCAGCGCGTGCAGTGCCTGCATGTCGTCCACAGTTATAGATGAGCCCCATAGCCCGAGGTCCACGAGGTTCGGGAAGGCCTGCACAAGACGCGCCACGATTTCCGGCGGTGTTGGCAGTGTCGCGAAGAACAGCGTCGGCCCCGCACTTTCTGGCCGCTCTTCTAGCTGCACCCACAGCGCGTCCAACTCCTCCTCATGTTCGATCAGCCGCACACGGTCCCGCAGCGGACCGATCCTGCACCGGTCGCCAACGTTGTTATCATGCTCTTGTCAGTCACCGCAGCCAGTTCGAATATGACCCGCTCGAGTTCGGGCGGCAGCACTGGCTCCGCGTCCGACATGGTGGTCGACACGCAAGGGCAATCAACAACGACACGTGGCATTAGCGATCTGTGACTCACTTGATTATGTCAGCTGCGTCCCCTTGCGTCTCTCTTTCATGGCGGACCCAGCGCTGCCTCCGGAACTGGAGCGCGACATCTTCGAACTGGCCGCGGTGACGGACAAGAGCATGATATCCACGCTGACACTCGTGTCACGGCGCGTCAACGCCTGGTGAGTACCAGTTTCCTGTAGACGAAGGAAACCAACGCACTGCAGGATTGGTCCGCTGCGGAACCGCGTGCGGCTGATCGAAGACGTGGATGTGCTGGATGCGCTGTGGGTGCGGATGGAGCAGCGGCCGGAGACTGCGGCGGCGACGCGGTTCCTCGCGACGACGACGACGCCGCCCGACAGCGTGCCGCGCCTCGCCCGGACGTTCCCGAACCTCGTCGACCTCGGGCTGTGGGGCGCGCCGGTCTCGCCCGAGGACCTGCAGGCGCTGCACGCGCTGACTCATCTACGCCGCCTGTCGCTCAATCCGTGCAATGTGCTCCCGAAGGACGCGGGGGCCCCGCCGGCGCTGGCGTTCGCGCCGTTCGCGCGGCTGACGCACCTCGAGATCTTCGCGGACGTCGAGGCGTGGATGGTGCCGGGCCTGGCCGCGGCGTTCCCCGCGCTCACGCACCTGTCCTTCTTCGACCTGCGCTTCCCGGTCCTCATGAAGGCCGTGCTGCACGCGCAGAAGACGCTCAGGGTGTTCGTGTACGTCTATATCGAGGACCCGAACGACGTTGATCCGCGGGACCCGGCGGAGGTCGCGCGCCTGCTGGGCGTCGATGATCCGCGGCTGGCCGTCGTGCCGCTCGTCGACTTTACGCTCGATTGGGAGGTGGGTGCGTGGGGCGGGTGGGACTACTGGGCGAGGGCGGAGGACGACATTTCTCGCAGAGTCCCGAAGAAGGATGCGGCTGTGCCTCCTCAATAGAATGCCCTCACTATTATCCTACAGCACTATTTAGTATATGTCTGCTTTGCAGAAGAGTCGTCCACAAACCGTGGGCAATCGTGCCAGTGCCTGCCACGTGTAATACCTATGTCATTTCATAAGCAGACCTCTCTTTCCCTTTGACGACGATGACTGAGTAGGGCTCCCAACCGTCCCCGTCTATGGACGGGTCTACGGTGCCGTATTTACGGACCCGTACCGTCGGCGGTGTTGGTCCCTTCCTGTACGGGACGGGTGACGGACGTGGAAAGCTTGGATACGGGCCGCCGGCGCCTGTCCCACCTTATTTAGGTAATTGAGACAAGATTGGGACCTATCTGAGCCAGTCAAACAAGTTTCGTAAGGAAATTCGCTGAATGGGGACAATAATCCGTGCTTACCAACTTTTTCCAGGTAAACCATTGACATATAACGGCCGTCTACGGTACGGGTTACGGCCATACGGTGCCGTACCGTATGAGATCCGCCGGCGCCACTTGACGGTACGGGGAAGGCCGTCCCGGTCTGGGCAACGGCCGTAATATTGGACGGCCGTCCCCGTATACGGGACGGTTGGGAGCCCTATGACTGAGCCGATGCTGCCGCCGGAACTTGAGCAAGCTGTGTTTGAGCTCGCAGCATGGGGGGACCAGCTGATGATACGTACGCTGGCGCTTGTTGCGCGGCGTGTCAATGTCTGGTAAGTTATTACCGAGGGCGTCGTCCCATGCTCAAAAAATGCAGGATTGGGTCGTGGCGTTATCGGATCTATCGCATCGACGATCACAAAGCATTCGAGACGCTGCGTCGACGGGTAGAAGCGTTCCCCGACAGCTGCGTGCACACAACACACTTCGCCACAGTCGTGGCGCTGCGGTCCGACACGCTGTCCTGGCCGGCCCAGACGTTCCCGCACCTCGTGGACCTCGGCCTGTGGGGCTTCCCCCAAGCTTCCCCGCGACCGTGGCCGACATGCACGTGCCACATCGCGGCGCTCCCCCGGCTGCGGCGGCTGTCGCTCAACCCGTACTACGCGCTCCCGGAGACCGGGCCCGCGTCCGACGCGCCGGCCTTCCCGCCGCTCGCCGCGCTGACGCACCTCACGCTCCTCGGGACGCCGGGCCGTGGATGCCGCCGTGGATCGCCGCGGCGTGCCCCGCGCTGACGCACCTCTCCTTCTTCCAGCGCTTCTTCCCGGACGTCATGCGCGCCGCGCGGGAGGTGCTGCCGCGCCTGGCCGTGTGCGCATATGTCCAGCCGGAGGACCCGACGCCGGAGCGGCAGGAGGTGGCGCGCGCGGTGTATGGGCGCCGGAGGGCGGCGATCGCGGACATGGGGGAGCCGCGTTTGGTGGCGGTGCTGGTGGGGGACTTTCACGGGATTACTGGGCGACGGCAGAGAAGGAGGTTGCGGCGGCGCTGAGTCTGAGGGTAGCCAGCAGCTTGAGCTTCAAGGCGGAGCCAAACTTGAATCATGGGCTGAATAAACGCACTCCCTTATCGTGCTATCTGAGCAACGGAGTCCTGATCCTTGGTTCATAGCCCTGAGAGCTGAGGCTGAGACAGCCAGTCTCAATGTGACAATGTGTTCATTTTTTTATTCCAATGATGATGAGCGGATTGATGTTTGACAAACACAATTGGCCCTGTTCCTACAATTCATCAAAGTATCCACTTACTTCCTAAATTTAGAGCTATTGCACCAATGCCACCAAAAGAGTGGACCTCCAGCAATTGCCAATGTATTGGATGTTCTCCATTCTATGTCAACAGTAGCTGAACAGTAGAACAGATCACCATGTATTTGCTACATTATTCTAACAGAGGGTCAACAAAGGTCATGGTAGGTAAATAGCATCAGGTAAAATCTATTTTACCTTTCATTTACCAAAGTGTACCCAAGCTCAACTAAAGTTATAGTTACAGCTCTGGCTCAGTAATGATCATGGTGGTTGGCATGTGCAGAGTGACGTGGCTTACGTCACTGATGAAAGGCAGCTACATGTTACATAACCGTTCTTTCAACTTCTTTGCTCCTCTCCACCATGACCGACCCAGTGCTACCGCCAGACCTGGAGCGCGCCATCTTTGAGCTCGCGGCGTGGGGCGATGTGCGGATGATCGCGACGCTGCCGCTCGTCGCTCACCGCGTCAACGCCTGGTCAGTACTACTCATTACGTCTTCCTCTCACCAAAGCTCAAAGAAAAACATCTAGGATGCGGCTGCTGCGCTTCCGAGTGTACCGCATCCCGGACTACAATGGCCTCAGCGTGCTCTGGGGACATGCAGCCGCATTCCCGCAAAGCCGGGCGGCCATGACCCACCTTGCGATGGTCGCCACCGGTTGGCCCACAGCCACCATTCTGGCGCGGCTGGCGGCGACGTTCCCACACATCGTCGACCTCGCGCTGTGGGGCATCCCGCACCGCGCGAACGACCTGCAGCCAATCGGGGCGCTGGCCAATCTGCGCCGCCTGGCGCTGAGCCCGCTCTACGCCTTCCGGAACAACGCCGCCACCGCCGTCGCCGTCCGGAGCCTGGCGCCGCTCGCCCGGCTGACACACCTCGCGCTCCTCGCGGCAGCCGGCCCGTGGCTTGTCCCCACGCTCGCCACGTGCTTCCCCGCGCTCACCCACCTCGCCCTCTTCGAGCAGCACCCTCCGCGCGCCGCATTCGTCGTCGACATGCGCCAGCTGCTGCGGTCGCTGCGCCTCGCAGTGTGCGTGTAGGTGCAGGTGGAGTAGCTCGACTGGGCGGACGGCTGGCGGTTCGACCAGCGCAAGACGCAGCTTGCCGCAGACATCGACGACCCGCGCATGGTGGCGGTGCAGGTGGCGGACCTCCGGGCCGATTGGGAGTGTGGCGCGTGGGGTGGGCGGGACTACTGGGCCCGCGCGGAAGAGGCGGTTCAGGTTGCAGTGCAGCGCCGGGCGCGTACTAGTACTAGTACTTGATTAGAACTCTATCCAACGCGGATCCATTGAAGCCACGCAAGCATCTAACCAACATATGTTTCAATAACTTCCCCTTGTATTCTTGAGCAATGAGGTTGCATACGGTTACACTGCGGCGCCAAGCCAGAGCAAAAGAGATAGATTTGGGGATTTCAAGTTATCAAGCCGTGGCTTACCACGCCTGGTCCCTAGACACCAAGTAGTCAGCACGAATAGGCGCGAGGCTCGCAATCCATACCGTCTGTAGTACTGCTTTACGACGTGAAGCCGCCCGCCGCATTGCGACTTCCTCCTCCGCCGGCGCGCAGACCCAATAGTCCCGCCCGCCCCCGGGCCACGCACCGCGCGCCCAGTCGTGCACCACGTCCCGCACATACGCAGCGACCAGGCGCGGATCTGCGGCATCAGCGGCGAGCCGCGAGCTCCGCCCTGCGCTCCGCGTATATCACGTGGTTCCGGCCGTCGGCCCAGGCGCCGGCCGCGAGGTAGACGGACACGCAGGCCGCGCAGTGTCGCGCATGACGTCAGGGCAGTAGCAGTCGAAGAAGGACAGGTGCGTGAGCGCGGGGAAGGCCAGGGCGGCCGGCGGCAGCGTCCACGGGCTGGCGTCTGCGAGGAGCTCGAGGTGGGTCGGCCCGGCCAGCGGGGGGACGCCCGGGAAATCGTCACGGTCCTCGAGGAAGGCGTTGGTTGCTCGGTATCCGCGATGCGATGCACCCGATAGCGCAGCAGGCCAGTCCTTGGCGTTGTCAGAATTTTAGTCGTAGAGGCAGTGTCACTTGCCACGTGTTAACATGGCGAGCGACGAGGGCCAGCGTGCGTATCATCCCCAAGTCTGCCCGTGCCGCGAGCTCGAAGACAGCGCGCTCGAGCTCCGGCGGGAGAACTGGCGCGGTGTCCATGGTGGTTGAAGTCAACATCCAAAAGATGCCGTGAAGCACACGTGATTATGACATCTGGCGTCTTATGTCATAAGCGCATCAACATCCTGTTCTCCCTTGACCTCCATGAGCGAGCCCACGTTGCCGCCGGAGCTGGAGCGAGCCGTGTTTGCGCTCGCGGCGTGGAGGGACCAGCGGATGATATGCACGCTGGCGCTCGTCGCGCGGCGTGTCAACGTCTGGTAGCCGTCTATTCGACGTTGACGAAGACTTGAAAATGCTGAACAAATGCAGGATTGGGCCGCTGCGGTATCGGATGTGTCGGATCCGGAGCCGCACCGACCTCGAGGCGCTGTGGCAACGTGTAGAAGCGCTCCCCGCGAGCGGGGCCACACAACGCGCCTCGCGACGGCTGTGCGGGTGCCGGATGCCATATCCCGCCTCGCGCGGACACTCCCTTGGGGGTGTGGGCGCACCCGCCCCTCCCACCCGACATGCGCGCGCTGCAGCCGCTGACCAATCTGCGCCGGCTATCGATGAACGCGAACGATGTCTTCCCGGAGGCCGGCGCCGACGTGCCGAGCTTCGTGCTGGACTTCCCCCCGCTCACGGGGCTGACGCACCTCGAGCTGCTCGGAGACCCCGGGCCATGGATGCCGCGCGTGATCGCTGCGGCTTACCCCGCTCTCACGCACCTATCCTTGTTCAACCGCTACTTTCCGGACGTCATGCGCGAGGCCCTCCAGGCGCTGCCGCGCCTCACGATGTGTGTTTATGTGCACGTCGAGTACCTGGCAAGGGAAGACCAAGCGGCTCCCAGCACGATATATGCCCAACGCCAGGCGGCGATTATCGGTCTGGATGATCCGCGCGCAGTGGCGGTGATGCCGGTCTACTCGGATGAAAACTGGGGGCCTGGCGCATGGCGCGGGCGGGATTATTGGGCCAGAGCGGAGGAGGAGCTTGCGTTGCGGCGCGTGAATCGGAGCAGGGTGACGCCAAGGGTGGAGTAAACCAGCATAGCACATTCTGTGAGTGTTGTGTAACTTGTGTTAACAAACAGCCACATCGATCACATTACCTCAGCCCATCTTTCTTGTCCTCCTCGCCGATGATAGACGCAGTCCTGCCGCCAGAACTCGGGCGTGTGGTCTTCCAGCTCGCTGCGGGGAGAGACAGGGGCGCTGGTAGCCAGGCGCGTCAATGTCTGGTGAGTCGTGTCTCAGCCCCATGCTGATTCCTGAATAGACTTAACGAAATAGGATTGCCCCGCTGTGCTACCGCGCTATCTGAGCGCTTGCCTGAGACACGCGTTGCCTCGCGGTGTCAGGCCTGGAGCTGCCCTCCCACAGATCACCGCCCGTTCCCACACCTCGTGGACCTGTGGAGCTTCACGCCGGCGACAGCCGCATACATGCAGGTTGCGCTCCCGCGCTTGCGCCGGCTCTCCCACAACGTCCAAGAAGGTTAGAGATGGCCGTCTGAACGAAAGGCATGGCATCAAGTTTACCATGATGTCAACCACCACTTCCAGCTCACTCCACCTTATCGCACCTTCGTCCCATCAAATAGAGCCCGGAGAGAACACTGACCGATATTAATAATTCCAATGCAGCGGTCCCGAAAATACCTGCCCAATCATACTCCCTTTTCTTCCCACTAGTGGTACTATCCGGGTTCCAAGACGCGATATTGCCTGCTGTTTTTCACCTGTGTTGCAGCTTCCCATCTCCTAAACCGCAACCGCTGTGCGAGCGGTATAGGTAAGTCTTAGGTCCCCCTGAAATCTCTTGCCAGACATTGGCTCGGGCAGCTCGAGCTCCCGGAACGCGGTCAGCCTCGCCTTTTGCGGTTTTCTCTGGGATGGGAGGGTATAAAGGGAGGGCAATGTCGACTACAATCCTCAGGCTAAGACGTCTCTACCACCTGAAACCCCCGGAACCGGAATCTCAATGGCTTTCAAGACTCTCTCCAACATCGTCCTCCTCGCGGCCTCTCTTCGAGTTGCCAGTGGTAAGCGATATCTTCGTACCACGAAGATCTACCTAACGACCTTTTAGCTGCGCTCACCAAGCGTGTCACTTGCTCAACCGGTCAGGTCACGGCAAATGCTGCTTGCTGCGCCCTCTTCCCCGTCGTCGACGACCTCATCGAAAACCTCTTCGACGGCGGGGAGTGCGGCGAGGAGACACACGAGTCTTTGCGGCTGACCTTCCACGATGCTATCGGTCTTTCCCCCACTCTTGGCGGTGGAGGCGCTGATGGTAGCTCGTCAATTATCTCGATAATATTCTTCTCAAGTCTATTCCTAGGCTCTATCGTCACGTTCGCGGATACTGAGGTCAACTTCCCGGCCAACGCTGGTATCGACGATATCGTTGACCGTCAGACGCCGTTCATCGAGAAATGGAACGCAACCCTTACCCCCGGCGACTTCATCCAGCTGGCCGGTGCTGTTGCTGTCAGCAACTGCCCTGGTGCCCCCCGTCTCCAGTTCTTGATGGGTCGTCCTGTTGCCCAGGCTCCCTCGCCGATTGGTCTTGTCCCCGAGCCGCAAGACTCGCTCGACAAGATTCTGCAGCGCTTCAAGGAGGTCAACTTCTCTCCCGCCGAGGTGGTGGCGTTACTTGCCTCGTGTGTCACTTTCTCCCGATATTGCGCTGTTCGTTAACCTGATCTGCTAGCCACACTATTGCGGCTGCTGACTTGGTCGACCCCTCGGTATGTTTCCTCACCTGTTTCTCGGCGCTGTTTACTCATACTTTCCTGTGCTCAGATTCCAGGGTATGTCCTCATTAACTCTCAGATTATTTCGCCCTAAACCGACCCAGAACTCCGTTCTCCTCCACTCCTTCGATCTTCGACACCCAGTTCTTCATCGAGACCCAGCTCCGTGGTGTGCTGTTCCCTGGGTACGATATACTCTCTACCTGCGGCAGCCTACTTAATCATTTATATAGTACTGGTGGCCACCAAGGTGAAGTTGAGTCGCCCCTCAAGGGAGAGATCCGCCTCAACTCTGACTCTGAGCTCGCACGAGGTCTGTTCAGCTCGTGAGCGCAGAGATTGTAGTCTAATGCCTCTGGCTACAGACCCCCGCACGGCCTGCACCTTCCAATCCTTTGCCAGTGCGTCACTTTCTCCACTGTATACCCGGATTGAATCTGAGTGGGTGTTTAGCTAACCAGAACGCCATGGCCAACGCGTTCAAGGCAGCGATGGCGAAGCTGGCCGTCATCGGACAGAACACCGCGAAGATGATCGACTGCTCCGACGTCATCCCCGTCCCCAAGCCCGTCGTCGGCAAGCCCCATCTGCCCGCCGGCAAGACGATGAACGATGTCGAGCAGGCGGTAAGCACATCGCTTCTCCCATACAGCACCGTCTGACACTTGCATTAGTGTGGCACTGCCCCGTTCCCAGCGCTCACCGCCGACCCCGGCCCAGCCACCTCCGTCGCTCCTGTGTAAGTTGCTTCATCTCTTAATGTGCTCTGACTCGGAAGCTGAGGCGCGTTCTAGCCCACCGTCGTAAATTTATCCATAGAGCTAAATTTATCTATCCACGCGGGGGAGTCGTTGCCGCGCTGGATGTCGTTGACTGTTATCTTTCTCTTAGCCGCCTATATTCACATGACATCGATTCAATTCACGGGGCCGTTACTAAAATTTTTGCTTTGAAAAAGTTCGTGGTAAAAGTTGAAGTTTTATTACAAGTTTTTGTCTTCACAAACCCTGAAGTTTTATAGTTAATTTTATCCCAAGAAATACCGTCACACTGAGTTTTTTGCAAAGGAAAAACTGTCACAGTGACAGTTTTTTCCTTCACAAAAATTTGGTGTGACAGTTTTTTCCATAACAAAACCTTTACAAAAATTAGTTATGACAGTTTTTCCTTCGCAAAAACTCGATGTGACAGTTCTTTATTAGATTTTTTCCTTTGAGAAACTTGTCATTTTTTCTATAGTTTCTATATAAAGAAATCTTTCCATTTTAGTGCTAACTTTTAGGAAAAATTCCGGAAATGGCCCTGTGATTTCACTTGCTTGTTCAATTGTGTCACTGCACTGATTGTCTCTATGGGGGCCCAGCCATATGGCGGTCGAAATGGGGGGAAAATACCCAAAGAATCACCAGTCTCTGAGGAAAAACTCGGCGCTTCTTCGACAGTTGTGAGAAATCATGATGTGGGCTCCTTTTGCCCCAAAGCTGGGCCAAGTGGAAAACCCACCTAATAGGCCACTTTCTGAGGTTCTTAAGACATAAATTAACCTACATCTGTCAGGGGAACCTCCCTTTCGGCCCGGAGACGCGTCCGATTCTGGTCCGATTCCGGTTCCGACACCGGTCTGGCCCTCCATCTCGCCCGCACAATCACCGATCCGTCAACGCCCTCCTGACAGTCGCCCTGGGACCTCGCCTGCGACGCCGCCCAAGCCTTCTGTGCCCAACAGCGGCAGCTACGGACAAGCAGTATATAGTCAGCTCCCTAGCAGGCGGACCCTTAGAGATTCTTCTCTTTGGATCCTCCCCTGCTAGGACCTTGATCTCAGGCCTCCGGGGTTGCCCTTACAACATCAGGTTACTTTTATTCACTTGAAAACCACCTACTGTATCAATTTATTCAATTCAGCGGTCACACGTCACACCAGCCCGCCGACACTAAAATATTTCAGCGTGTCACAGGCCCACGGCCAGATGCTGAATGTCAAATGACCATCAAAGCATCAAAAAAATTTTGGCGCCCCCTTAAATAGGCCGAAATTTTTTGGTTGTCACACACACTGGCATCAGGCAGTGCCGAAAAATTAATTTCAGTGCCGATGTCACACCATTTTGGGCGCTGAATTGAATAAAAGGAAGTTAATTGAGGTACAAAGCTTCATTACTCAGAGAATTGCATCTTCTAACATCTTTTTCCTTACATCCATATATTGTACAATATTTGACTACAAAGCTTGGAGGTAGACTATAAGGGCTACAAAGACATCCTATCTACTACAGATACGACTGAAGTTAGCAGTTTTACATTTTGGCTAATTTATGGAACTTACACTGGGGTTTCTGCCAAAAAAATAGACCCTGAAGTAGGATTAATTTATGATAAATAGTGGACAAAAAAAATGTATATTTTCACAACTTGGAACAATAATAAATAAAACTCCAGGAAAATAGACTTGATTTGTAAAGAATTGGGACATATATTAAGTCATTAGATTGGACTGAACTCAGAGCCAATATCAGCTGACAATTTTGTGGCAAAACATTACAAGATATAAGACCATATATATTAAAAATCCGGGCCAGCACCAAAGTGTACCTAATATATCAGAAATAAGTGATAAATCGCCATTACTGTACTATTTTACTCAATTTGAATCGCAAAAATGCTGTGACATTGCATACGAAAATCTCAACTTGTATTATTTCCTTATTAGGCAGTTCTTGGCACCGGAAAAACTGCAAAATTACCCTTTCGGGACGCAAAAATGGCAAACTTGCGTGCAGATCCGATGGAAATATATTTTTTTGCAAAGTGGAGTGGTGTCCATTCACCACTTCTCCACCCACCTATAGTGCACCCTAATACCCTCTAGTTAGAGGGATAGAGTGGGGTACTATCTCCTTCTAACTAGAGGGGGTTGAGCTAGTAGCGGGCAAACCCTGCTAAATATGGCTACCAAGGGGGTCTTGGTAGCGGGGAAAGAAGCCCGGAGGCTGTCATCACCCTCCCGGCTGTCTCCCCGCCCCTGCCCACTGTGCGCGCTGCCTGCCGCCGCCCCCATGGCCTCGTCCTCGTCGTCACAATCGTGACTTATGTCACCGATCGTTGATTGACATTGCCGATCACTGCCCGCTGTCGTCGGCCGTCCCCGCTGCTGTCAAATACCCCGCCGTCACTGTCAAATAGTCTGCTGTCATCGTCCTCAACGTTGCCCTCAATGGTGAGCTCAATTCTCTCAATATTGTCATTACAGCTGTTTCCGAAAACCTTGAGACTTGTGTATTTTTTT